TTTTTTTTCTGTCAGTGTTTCTAAAAATTAGTGGATTTTTTTAAAAGAAAAAATTGAATTAACTGCTAATCGCATTATTAACTGTTTCTTAAACATTTGATTTATTAAACACTTACATAAATATTCTAGCTCTTTGTCTAACTATTATAAATCTTGGATTTGAGCCTAGATTTATCGCATCCAGCTACGTTAAAATTTTACTTTAAGCGATTATTATTAACAGCTTATAATCCCTCATACAAGTGTTCGAATTTTATACATGTTAACTAGTGCGTATTGAGGAAGAATATCTTGAGCAATATATTCTATTTTGCATTTTTAAATTACAGAAAAATTGATACTGATTATTTGTGAAAAATTAATGACAGTATGAGAAGCATGAGACAAAGAAGCATCCGGAGCACGCACACAGGCACAAGGTAGAAGAGGAGATCGCAGCAGTCGTGGGGGTGACTTCCGGCGGGTATGCTTTCCATGAGCACCACGAGAAGAAGGAGGTTAAGGAAGATGAAGAGGAAGCCGAGGGGAAGAAAAAGCATCACTTCTTCTAATCAAGTGACATATTGGTCAAAGACTTGTTTAAATATCTCCATATATTATGCTTGCATATATGTTTATGTTTTATGTTCATGAGTCTGGTTTGTATCATGTTTGTTTCCTTTGTTGGTGTTAATGACGATGTTATAATAATCTGCTTACTTTTGAGTTGTTTTCAAAGTAAGAGCCGGTTTTGATGAGCTTGCTTTTCTACATTAAAATAACGCTGGTTTCCCTGCTTTTCTACCAAAAATCTATACTCCAATAGCCTATATTAAAGGAGAATGCAACTTGCATGGTCAAAAGTGAAAATTAAAGGCATGTAAGGAATAATTTTACTAAGATCATGTAAAGAATAATTTTTCTAATGTGTGAATATATGTTAGCAATGCTCTCATTTGAATGAATAGAGAAAGTTCATATTCATGAAGGAGGATGTTAATATTGGATTGGTTAACTTCATTTATATTCTCATAAGTGATACAAACTTAGGTCAAAAATTTTTTACTAGTTTTATAAGTTGAAATACAAATATAATATTTTGATTTTAACGTACAGAAAAGTAAGTTTAGGCATTAGGAGAATTATTTATGTAAGTTCTCATTCAATATTAATATATTCATTAAATGGAATATCTACATATAAGTCATTATCAAATTTAATTTATAAGGAATAGATACCTTGAACCAAGTTTCATATAATAAAATCTATAAATTGAATAAAATAGCAAGCTCAAGTAAGAGAATACCATTCCAAAATTTTATACATAACTCAGTTTGCTATAATATGATCTCCTTGAGGTGAGCAAACCTAATGCAAGAATCTTGCCTTGATACCCTTTAAGAAAGTTGTGACACTGATGAGAGTGGGGTGGGGTGTGTATGTTATATTTTTATTTAAGGCTCACATTTATTGTATTAACTTATGAGATTTATTTTGATAACTTAAGTTATTTATTTTCTGAACTCATAACTTATGTCATAAATTATGACAACTTATGATATTCATTTTGATAACTTAAGTTATTTATTTTCTTAACTCAAAACTTATGTCATAACTTATGACAACTTATGATATTTATTTTGATAACTTAACCTATTAATTTTCTTAGCTCATAACTTATGTAATAACTTATTATAACTTACAATATTTATTTTTGTAACTCATGATAACTTAAGTTATTAATTATCTTAACTCATAACCTATGTCATAATATATGATAACTTATGATATTAGTTTTATAACTCATGTAATCCCTAAAGGTTACTAACTTATAATTTTATAACTCATGTAATCCCTAAAGGTTACTAACTTATGTAATTGATTTTAATAAGAATGATAATAATAAAATCAATTAATTTATTAAATTATCATAAATTCTATTGGTGATGATGGTTAAATAGAGCATGATTTAGAGAATGAGTTATCTTTCTTCCTAACACAACTCGTTCATTTTCCTTCATCATAAAGTACAGAAAGTTTCAAGGGATTAGAGGTTATCTTTCTTCCTAACACAACTCGTCCATTTTCCTTTATCATAAAGTACAGAAAGTTTCAAGGGATTAGAGAGAGAAACTTCATTTCTTCAAGATCAAATTTTATCATCATCAATACAGGTATGTGTTACTTTATTATGGATATGTAAAAATCATGAGATTAAACAATCTTGACTATTATGTATTTTTTGGAATTTGTGTCATAATGCTCAAACATGAATTTCTAGCATGTTGTATCAGAGTCTTGATTACTAAATTTAGGATTTTTCATATAATTTTATTTTTGTTAATTGTATTAATTTTCGCTCAGAATTAGATTTTAAATTATATCACAAATACTAAAGTAAATTGATGTGATTGACAGTATTATTTATTTGATGGCTATGATATGTTTAAATTATTAGTCACCAAAGTGACCAAATTAATAAGTTTAGTAGATGTCAAATTAAATAAATTCAATTACTCACAACTATGTGATGCTTGTTATGAAATAATTTAATATTTCATTATAAAAATATTAAAATTCATTGATTATGAAATATTTTTAGATCACCCAAATGTTGATCATTTGATTTATAATCTTTGAATATAATTGTAGTCTATTTATATACTTAGTTAAGATATGTTTATTTATCCAAAGATAGACATTTCTAATTTAAGTATAAACAATTACCAATTATATTAAATTTAATTCAAACATCAATGATGATTATTATCGTGTATTGTTAAACCACCTAAAGGAGATTTCAATGCATTATTATTTTTATGATTATTATTTTAACCTGGTTTTATATGAATATCTATGTAAGTTCATGGTTCGAAGCATTAATGTACGAGCATGTTTTATTTATTTGCAATAACTACTCTTATTTCTTTTCATTCGCAAGCTACATGTGTTGAAACTTTCAATGGGCTTAATTTCTCTGAATGGCGTGAGCAAGTCCAATTTCACCTTGGTGTTTTGGATCTTGATTTGACACTCACATCTGAGAAACTCCCTGCTCTCACTTATTCCAGCAGTGCTGAGCAAATATCTTTCTATAATACTTGGGAAAAATCAAATAGATTAAGCTTAAATGACTGTAGCAACCAACATAAAGTGTACATTTTCTAAGACTGAAAGTGCTAAGGAATTTATGAAATTTGCTGAGAATTGTTCTAGTTTGACTCTACTGATAAGTCTCTTGCTGGGACACTATTGAGTACGTTAACCAACATGAAATTTGATGGTTCTCATACTATGTATGAGCATGTCGTTGAAATGACGAACATATCAGCAACACTTAAGACTCTGGGAATGGAAGTGAGTGAAAAATTCCTTATGCAATTTATCATTAACTCCTTATCTTGTGAGTATGTTCTATTTCACTTGAACTACAACACTATGAAAGATAAGTGGAATGTGAATGAACTACATTGTATGCTCATTCAAGAGAAAACAAGGCTTCAGAAAAGAGCAACTCACACCATTAATCTTATGCGTCACCAAAGAAGAGCTGTAAAGAAATGTGGAAAGAATAATGGAAAGGGAAAGAAAAAAACACTAAAGATTAATGTGTCATCTGCCTCAATTCATAAAGAGGAATGTAAAGGAATTAAGTGTCACTTTTACAGAAAGCCTGGACACTATCAAAATGAGTGTCAAAAGTGCAAAGACAGGTTTGAAAAGAAAGTTAAACCTTGTGTTTCTGTATGTTTGGAATCAAATTTGGCAAAAGTTTATTATAATACATGGTGGATTGATTCTAGTTGTACCACTCATGTTTCTAAAGTGACGCGGGGATTCCTTACAACCCAAATCGTAAACACAAATAAAAAGTTTGTCTTCATGGGAAATCAAGTCAAAGCACTTGTTGAAGCTAATGGAATCTTTCAATTGATTTTAGATATTGGACTTCATTTAGACCATTTTCAAACACTTTATGTCCTTTCTATTTCTCGTAATTTTATTTCATTGTCTAAACTTGATTCTATTTATTATAATACATGGTGGATTGATTCTAGTTGTACCACTCATGTTTCTAAAGTGACGCGGGGATTCCTTACAACCCAAATCGTAAACACAAATAAAAAGTTTCTCTTCATGGGAAACAAAGTCAAAGCACCTATTGAAGCTAATGGAATCTTACAATTGATTTTAGATATTGGACTTCATTTAGACCTTTTTCAAACACTTTATGTCATTTCCATTTCTCGTAATTTTATTTCATTTTCTAAACTTGATTCTATTGGACACTCTTTTAAATTTAGAAATGGCTGTTTCAGTTTGTTTAAACGCAATCATCTCGTAGGTTCCGATATTCTTTAAGATGACCTATATAAGCTTAAACTTGATAACCTTTTCTTTGAGACTTTGATGACTTTCTGTTTCAGTTTGTTTAAACGCAATCATCTCGTAGGTTCTGATATTCTTTGTGATGACCTATATAAGCTTAAACTTGATAACCTTTTCTTTGAGACTTTGATGACTTTGTATCATAATATTATACTAAACGTGCTTTTATGAATGAAAGTTCAACTTATTTGTGGCATAAACGTTTGTGTCATATATCCAAAGAAAGAATTGAAAGATTAGCAAAGAATGAAATTCTTAATGACTTCGATTTTACTGATCTTGGCACCTATGTGAATTATATTAAATGAAAACACAAAAATCACACACTTAAGAAAGCCGCCACGAGAGGCACACAACTCCTTGAAATTATATACACTGATATTTGTGGACCTTTTGATGTTCCATCTTTTCGTGGAGAGAAATATTTTATCACCTTTATTGATGATTTTTTGCTTTATGGGCATGTCTACTTATTGCATCAAAAATCTTAAGCTACAGATGCCTTTAAGGTGCATATAACTGACATTGAGAGACAACTAGATAAAAAAGTGAAAATTATCAGGTCTGGTAGTGACGGTGAATATTATGGAAATTACAATGAATCTGGACAATGTCTAGGTCCATTTGCTAAATACCTTCAAACTAATGGCATATGTGCTCAATATAATAAGTCAGGAACACCACACCAAAATGGTGTTGCAGAAAGGCAAAATTGTACTATAATTGAAATGGTTAGGACTATGATGAGTAATTCCTCTTAACCCTCAACATTGTGGATGCATGCTTTAAAGGCTGTTGCATATTTGTTAAATAGGATTCTTAGTAAGGAAGTCCCATAGATTTCTTTTGAGTTGTGGACATGAAGAAAACCTAGCTTAAGGGAGCTACATATTTGGGTTTGCCCAGCAGAAATAAGGTTATATAATCCACATGAAAAGAAACTGGACTCAAGAACAGCTAGTGGTTTCTTCATTGATTATCCAGAAAAATCTAAACGGTATAGATTTTATTGTCCTAACCACAGTACAAGAATTATTAAAGCTGCAAATGCCAAGTTCATTAAAAATGGTGAAATTAGTGTGAGTTTGGAACCACATAAAGTGGAGTTCTATCAAGTTCATTAAAAATAGTGTGAGTTTGGAACCACATAAAGTGGAGTTCTAAGAAATTAGGGTTCAAGTTCATTTACCAAAAATTTCTTCTCAAGTTGTTATTCCTACAGTTGTTGAACAGTTTGACAACTTACAAGAACAATAGATATATGATCAAATACCCCCCAATGAAACTGTAACTAATGAACCTACATTAAATGAACCACATGAAGTAGTACCTAGAAAGTCTCAATGACAAAAACGGTCTACTATTTCTGATAATTATTTGGTTTATCTGCACGATTCTGAATTTGACTTAGAAATCAATGAAGATCCAGTTTCATTT